TATAAGCTCAGTAGTTCATGTTTTGCAGTCTGTGCTCAGTTTTTTTACCACATGTGAGAGGTTGCTTTTTCGGTACAAAGCACTGACATCCTCCTCTGTTCTGTTCTGTCTCTCTGTAGCTTCAGCGGCGTCACGAGCAGATGAAGAAGAACCTGGAGGCTCAGCACAAGGAGCTGGAGGAGAAGAGACGCGTGTTTGAGGAGGAGAGAGCAAACTGGGAGGCCCAGCAGCGCCTGGAGCAGCAGAAACTGGAGGCCTCCAGGTACAGCTGAAATAAACTGGCACACCTCTCATGGTTCAAAACATTTAAGATCCTTTATCCTGCACAAATTCAGGCACTGTGAGATTGACTTAGACAATAAGATTCAGTAGAGGATGAATGGTGGGCAGTAGTGGATTAGTGCCACCTTGTGGTTGTCAGACTCTTCTGTGGTTTTCACATATTATTGATGTAGATATTACCCGCAGAGATGTCTGCCCCCTCTCCAATAAAATGGAACTAGATGGCACTCAGCTTGTGGTGCTCAAAGTGGCAATATATTATTATTATTATATATAATATATATTATATATAAACTTAACAACAATGTCTCTTTCCAGCCCTTGTTGTGAGCAGTTTCATGTCGGTACTATTTTCTTTGTACCAAACTACACCTGCCAACCGTATCACAGCGCAGAAAGAAACGTGCAACCACTTGTGGACAAGACTCATGCGTGTGACAGCAAGATGTAAACATTAAAGCTGCAGTAGGTAGAAAGCCTGAAAACGGTTGATTTTTGAGTCTCATCTCAGTTAGGTTTCGTTCGTCTACGCCCTGAGCTCCTCCTACCAGATGAGCACGCAAGTATTTTATCCTACTTGGTTCTATTTCTCCCTCTCTGGGAGCCTCGGCTCTCCCTCACCGCGCAGCAGCTCGCCCCGCACATACCCCCAAGGCTCGGGCTCTCCCTCTCCGCGGAGAGCCCTCGGCTCCGCTCCCACGGCCGACCCTCGTGCCCTCCATCCGGGCCCGGCCCCACCTCACCCTTCCCCTCCCTCCCGGGCTCCTGGGAACCAAGTTCTGTCTTCCTTTTTTTGGGTTTAGCCGTGTAGGCAGTTGTAGCCAATGCTGGAATAGCTATTTTACCTGGTGCACTGTTCGCCATTGCCACTAGCTCTCCCCTTCTGCCGGCGGCACGGGAACACACATATGCAGTAGAACAGCCAATAGGAACGCAGTGGTATGAGCTGACCTTTGATTGGTTGATGCACATCGGCACGATACTGATTCTTTAGAGGCTGAACACAGAGCCATGGTGAGGTGCAGAAACCTATTGTTTGCCTCAGACCACTTGATTTACATTATGCTCAGAGCATATTATAACATTTTTACTCAATTATACCGAAATGATGTTGCCTACTGGAGCTGTAACGTTAGCTAGCTCAGTGGTGCTAGGTGAGCTAGCAGTAGATGTTCTGCGTAGTGATACATTTGTCGGGTGTAGATCAGTAGAAAGAAAATAGTTCCTACATGAATCTGCTCACAGCAAGGTCTGTGGATTATCTTCAGTAAACAGCTCATGATTTCTGCAAAGAGACATTGATGTTGAGTTTTTCAAGTGTATTTTTGGTGCATTGAGCTCCACAAGCTGAGTGCCATCTAGTTCCATTATATTGAAGAGAAGACAGACATCTCTACGGCTGATATCTCCAACACTCTGCAACTCACACCAAAACAATATGAATAGATAAATAACACTAGAGGTAAGAGGGAAAATATGGATCCTTAATGTTTTGGGTGAACTGTCCCTTTAATAATATTGTCTGGTCTAATTTCATGTTAATAGCTGCATTGGAAATATGATTAATGAACAAAAGTCACATGTTGTTTTCTCTCCCAGTCAGTGCTGTGAACGTTAATATCTTATTTCCTTATTTCCATAAAGTGATGTATGTATTTGCTATGACTAGATCTAAACATAAAAGAGCTGAAATGTTGTTTGATATATAGTTACTGATTATACTGTCTATGTGTGTGTCTCTTCTTTCCTGCAGGACTCTGGAGAAAAACAAAAAGAAAGGCAAGATCTTTTAAAAGACAGTCAGCAGGACCACCCCAACTCGAGTTATTTTTGTTTGCCAACGTTGCCGGTCAGGATGCCAGTGTGTGGCACTGACATCACCCACATCCTCCTCCTCCTCTTCTCCCTCTCTCTCTTTCTCTCCCTTCCTCCCCCCTCTTCCCACCGCTCCTTATCTCCTGTCCCTGCTCTGTCTGCCAGCACAGCTGTGCTCCTGCTCCCAGCCACCAGAGGGGGTAGTATGGGTATGTGAGGAGGTGGAGGGGGTCTGAATGTACGGTCAGAGCCGCCACCACAGAGCCCCCTCGCTGCCTCGGGACTCATCATTAAAGAATTGAAAAAATAACCCAGTTTCAGAAAGGCCAAACCCATATTATTATTTTAATTATTATTATTATTATTGATGTTATAATTATTATTATTATTATTATTATTATTATTATTATTGTTGTTGTTGTTATAACGGAATCCTGTCCCCGCCCCCGACCTGCTGCTCTCTTTTTTTCCACCCCAAGGTTGCTTTGAAATGAATGATGTGTACAGTTTTACGGAGAGCACAGACAAAAAAATAAATAACCATGAGTCATGTCTGACTGTTGTACAATCAAGTTCTGGTGAATTTTACTTGTTTACAGGAGTTATGAAAGTAACAGTATATGAACATTAACCCGATCTTCCTTTGTGTATTAAAGTAAGAAGAGGACGAGGCATTAACTAATCCTTTTTTCTTTTGTTTTGAGTGTATCCGGTAAACCTTTAACCCTCCTCCTCATCAGTGTGACAGAAATGAAACGGAGTCAACAGAAAAAACCTTGAAACCAAGACAAACAATAAAATGCACCTTGGGCCTTTTTTATAGATTAAAAAAATGGCTAAAGCTTCTTTTTTCTGAAATGTAACGCTTTCTTTTTTCCTCTGTGTTTAGCTATTTCCACTAGCCTTGGACCACCATTTATAATGTCATAAGTGTTATATTTCACTTTAGTTTATTTTTATATATACCGAGCCAGCTGAAGTAATAACTTCTTTTGTATGTTTAGAAAATCCTCAGAGACTTGAGAGCGGCGTCCACTGTTTTAACAAGAAACACACTTTCACATAGGACAGTGATCCATTGACGCTTTAAAAGAAAAACAATACTTCAATCACTCTGCGGTAACGATCTGTGGGAAATGAAGAGTCAACACCGCAATTTGCTTTGGCTATGTACTCCATCTCTGTATTTTTAATTTTATTTTTCATTTGTATTGTACAAAGTCACTTAATAAACCTGTGATGATATTGAGGAGTGAGACGGGTTTGTTATGGAAACTGGTGTGGACACTTTTATTTTTACATAACACTGTTTTTACATTCAAATATCACTGTTGGGTATGCTTCAGTGATGCATTTTCCATCATTTTATTTTAACACTAGACAGCGCTGTTGGTCTGAAGCTTCTCAGTGTTGGCAGCTGTGTCACAATCCACTGTTGTATATCACATTTTTAATGAAACAATGACAGACAGACTAAACAAAATATATTTTTTGTTCTGAAATGAAACAAAGAAAACAAATGTAGATCTTCAGATCATCTGTGCAGCTCACTGGGCTCCTGCAGGGATGACATCAGCTGTTACCAGGTGGATTTTTCACTGAAATTGCCCACAAGTACTTTTAAAGGTCCAGTGTGAAGGATTTCGGTGGATATATTGGCAGAAATGTAATACAATAAGTGTCTTCTTCAGTGTGTAATCACCTGAAAATAAGAATTGTGTTTTCACTACTTAAAGGGATAGTGCACCCAAAAATGAAAATTCAACCATTATCTACTCACCCATATGCCGAGGGAGGCTCAGGTGAAGTTTTAGAGTCCTCACAACACTTGCGGAGATCCAAGGGGAGAGTAGGTAGCAACACAGCTCCACCTAATGGAGGCTTACGGTGCCCCAGATTCAAACGTCCAAAAACAAATAATTGAAACCACAAAATATCTCCATACTGCTCATCCGTAGTGATCCAAGTGTCCTGAAGCCCAGACATAAAAAGTTGTTTGGAAAAACGTCATTTGAACTCTGTTTTTAGCCTCAATATAGCCTGTAGTTCTGACTGACTCTCTGTGTACTGATCACGACGGATGAGCAGTATGGAGATATTTTGTGGTTTCAATTATGTGTTCTTGGACGTTTTAATCTGGGGCGCCGTCAGCCTCCATTAGGTGGAGTTGTGTTGCTACCCCCTCTCCCATTGGATCTCCGCAAGGGATGTGAGGGCTCTAAAACTTCACCTGAACCTCCCTCGGCATATGGGTGAGTAGATAATGGCTGAATTTTCATTTTTTGGGTGCACTATCCCTTTAAGAATGAGCCGTTTACATCTACGTAGGGAATGGGTCCCTGTCTATGGTGATGACCATATTGCACCACCATGTTTCTACAGTAGCCCAGAATGGACCAACTAAACACTGGCTTTAGATCGGGACATTAGTGTTATCACATCAGCCATAATTAGAAGCCCCACTGCATCAAGAGTGTCAGAAAACTGCAGATTTTTTAATGCTAAACTGCTTTATTCAGTGTTTTTACCAGTTTAAATTTTCTGGTTGTTTTGGAGAGGAAGTGACCTCTGCAGATAATTCTGCTCCTGGTAAGAACCTCCTCAACATCTGGATCTTAAGGTAGAGAAAAAAGATGCACGCACATAAGGAGGTGCTAGGTTAGCGACCTGTCTCCAATGTACCAAACAGTGTAAGAGAAACACAGATTTGTAATGTGAAACTGCTTTAGTCAGTGTTTTACTGGTCTAAATCGCAGGTTCGTTCATTTCGGAGAGGAGGAGTCTTCTGTGAATAATTCGGCTTCCAGTAAAAAAAACACCTGAACAATGAATACCAAAGAAATCCTAACCAGAGGAGGAGTTTCATCTGGTTGCAATATGCAATCCTCACCCCTAGATGCCACCAAATCCTCTAAATCTTACACACTGATCCTTTAATGTCACAGCTGGAGGTGCCATACCTTGATCCTCAAAGCTTCTTTTACCCATCAGACCCACGAAGGTTTGGAATTTATGTCCTGTGAAACAAAAAGCTACATGTCACTTTATCTAAAAAAATAATAAAAAGAAAAATGGAATTGATATCTGATGTTGAAAACAAGCAAAAGAATTACGTTTACGTGCTGTCTGCGTTTTTGCTGTTGGGAGGAAAGAAATAAAATCAGACATGGAGGCAGCAGTCATAAACATAAGTACAGTAAACACTCTCTGTAATGCCCTACCGTAATCTCTCTTCCCCATGAGTCCGAGATACTGGCGCGGTCCTGGCTTTCTGGTCAGTCTCACTAACATATCTTGAACCACTCCAGAGTTTGGCCATTTGTCCTGATATGCGTATGTGTGTGTGTGTGTGTGTGTGTGACAGAAAAATGCACAGGCAGAGAATAAATATTGCAAATGTATTACTGCATAATAAATATTCACAATGTCCAGCGGCAGATGTGTCAAATAAATCATATCACCTACAAATAATATCTTAAATTATTTTGCGTTTCAGTGAAGACTTTTCCATGCCCAAATCTTTTAGGAAACGCTGGTGTGAATATAAATATTTGATTCTAATAAGTATGAACATCTTACCTCTCCGACTCTGTCCCTCCAGTTGTCAACATCCATTTCTTGACAGTAAACATTTGTCAGAAGCAGCACAACCAATACAACTTTAACCAGCTTCATCACCCAAAACCGTGCGTAATTTCACCCAAATGCGTCTGCGTAAAAATTGTAAACGATAAACCCCTTTAGCATGGATTAAAGGTAATGATATATATTTGTGTGCAGGAAGTCTACACCTCTCTGATATAGAGAAAACCCGCGTTTTTACCCTGACGTTGCGCCATTGCGCCACGGGGGTCCATTAACGCTCCCGTTGCGCACAAGGGCTTTTACGCACAGCTGAAGTTGATGATGTGGGGCGATGCTCGTATCCAGCAATTATTCTATGAGTCACAGGGCTTCAGTTTGACGTGTCTTATAATTAGTTTGTATTTTATGCGCTGGGTCTATTGAGAGATACTGGACCTGAGGTCCAGACTTGACCTACATAGTGTTAACTGTTCAGCTCAAGAAAATCTGACATCTGGCCCTAAAAATATTGTCAGATTTAAGTGACAGTTCCAGAGGAGACTAAACTAGGAGGTCTTTTTTATTCTAAAATCACAAAGGGTTTAAGTTTTTTTCTTGGATCACTCACAATAGGCTATAATACAACAGGGACATATTTATAGGAAGTATTCACATCCCTTAACTTAAGTAAAGTGCCAAAATATAGTTCATTCATTCATTCATTCATCTTCTAACCGCTTCATCCTCTTGAGGGTCGCGGGGGGGGGGGGGGGCTGGAGGCCAAAATATAGTTTGTTTGTTTTTTACTATCCCATAGCACTCACTGACTGCTACAACTTCATCTGATGTGCTGCAATATTTCCCTGATGGCATGGTGCACTTTGCTTTTTAAACTCAGGTTTTTAACTTTGTTCTTTGTTTCTGCTTATTTATTTATTTATTTTTCTTTAAATCTAACTTAAATTCTGTTTTTATTATTGTTTTGTGTGAAGGGAGACTGGTGATTAAGAATTTAATTGCATGGTGTGCTGTGTTTTTACTGTGTAGGCCTATATGACAATGAACTTCTTGAGTCTTGAATGCTAGTTATCTCAGACCAATAAAAGGATTCTTTCATGGAAAGCACATTTGTAGAAACAGCACAATAATATGTATGGTGACTGGCTGTGAATATTTTAAGAGCCCAAGATGGAAACCTTATTTGTCCCATTTTACCTGATGTCCCAAATTATCTGACTATTATATAATGCCTTATTGGAGTATTTTTCTGATGCATATTACAGCATAAAGAACATTTTAATATAGCTGGACAAAAAAGGAGAAAGCTGCTCTGTACACTGCTGGTAGTTAATGTACTTTAATGTCAATGATCTCATCACTCACATTCCTTTATATTGATGTGTTTTGTGCTGCATCTAGGTCTATTTTCATTTTTCAATACTGCTGGACAGCTACAAACTCCTCCATCTTTAAATGTGACAAGACTTTTATTCCCAAGACAATTGAAAACAAAAAATGTCACCTAAGGATGCTTTGGTGCAGTTTTATGGAGCAGCAGTGAAGAGACGGCTGTTTTTACCCATTTGTTTTATGCTTTTATGATTATTTTATGTGTGCGGATATCACCTATCTATTTTGTATTGTGTTTAATGTACTATGTGCTTTATGAGTGGGTGGCTTTACTATTTTTGTCTTTCTCTGTTTTTGTTTACCTGAGCTCACTCAGACAAATTCATCAGATTAGTCGTGTTGATTTGGCGATAAAGTCTTGAATCACACAGTGACACTTTTTATTTCTCTGCATGGCGTCAGTAAAGTTTATCTTATGTTTTTTTATATGTAAAGTTTGAATCTGTAAAGTTACAAATGACTGACTTTTAGACCACTTGAATACATTTATTTAAAAATATAATATAGTGGATTAAATGCATTAATTAACATCAAAGGAAAGTAAATGTGCTTAGTAACTAGTAAATAAATAAATTGCAGTGAGGCTACTAATTATGGTGAAATAAATAAATAATAAATTAAAATTATATAGCAAAATATTATATTATATACATAAAATGAAAATTTAAAACTCAAAACGTATTAATTGGCAAAAAAACTATTAGATTATTTAGACATTTTAGTTTTACTCCATTTGTTTAGCAGACCCTGAAGGTTTTTGTTTCATCATGTTTCTTTTGCTCCCTATATTTTATTTATTTGTTGTGCACTTGAATTTATTTTTACACTATTTTTATATTATAAAATAATACTTTCTACAACTTCTTTATGAAAATCTGTAACTATATAGTCAATGTATTAAACGTTTAAGGAAAATAAAGATCTTGTTACCAGTCTAAATTATCCTTTTAATGAGCCTACAGTCTAATTAGATACGATCCTTAATAATATAAATGAAGTATAATAATTTCTCGTCACTTCTTTACACAGTATATAAAGTAATGACTTTAAAGGACAGTGTAGTTTGTTTTAGTTTTTAATTAATCCGGATTAAATTGGCAGCCAATGAAAATTCCGTGTTTTTTTAAGTGAACCTCTCGGTTGCGCTTTTTAAGGCGTTTGTCCCACTGGGGCCGCCGTAGACAGCAGTACGGCCCGCCTCCAACTCAAAAGTCTGTTGATGAATTTAGGAAGCAGGTCGAAACAAGTCTGACAGAGTTCAACAGCAGGCAGAGCTTTAAAATTCAGAAACATTTTGTGAAAGAGATGCTCGGCTGCTTGTGGCGAGTTCACGGTCACTCGCCGTGAGCAGAAACATGGTTGTGTTGCGTTCAGAGTCCTCAGTATTGTGGCTCCTTGTTATTGCTGTGACAGTTCATGTCAGTGGAGCTGCAGGGAAACCGAAACTGCTCGACTATGGGGCGAGCTGTGAGTCTGAGGACAGCGCCATCAGCCTGAGGTCCAGTAAAACCTCCTCAGCGCTAGAACCGGAGCCAGGAGACCCCGCAGACGCGTTCACTGTCCTGACTCTGGACGGGGAGTTCTCCTACCAGCCCGGTGCTCTGCGGGGACCCCTCATTATTCACGCCTTCTCCAACAAGTCCGGGTTCCTGGAGTGTCTGTGGAGCTCGGAGTCGTCCCTGAGCAGCCTGGTGGAGGAGCTGCCCAACAGCACCCAGGTCCTGTTTCTGTCCCTGGATGACTCCGCGTTCAGTGATGCTCTCTGGATGAAGGAGCAGGTGCAGCGGGTCGCCATGCACAGGTGACCGGAGAGGAGCCGCTGCTCCTGGGCACAGTGTTAGAGTCTAACAGGGTCCTGTTAGAGTCAGCCCGGTGGTTACACTCCGTTAAACATGTGGTTTAACACTGCAGGGATCATTTACTTAAGTAAAAGTATCAATACAAAAATGTTAAATAATTAATTACAAATAAAAGATCAGCCTTCAAATCAATGCAGTGATTATGAACTTTAATTTTAATAATAATAATAATAATAATAATAGTAATAAACTTTACTTACAGCACCCTTCATACAAGAAATGCAGCACAAAGTGTTGAAAATGTCTATGAGAATACACATAATGGACATAAAACAAACAAGGCAACATTTATATAAAAGGACATTTAAAACAGTTTAAAACATGGAATAATTTATTAATAAAACCATAGAGTTGTAAAACTATAAATCATAAAAATACGTGGCATCCCTGACATCTATAGGTAGTGCTTTCCATAGCTTTGGGGTGTAATTGACATTGAATAATCAATTAATCCACTAGTTGTCCACTATTAAATTGATTATCAAATTCATTTGTGAATTGATTAATCTGTTTGAGTATTTTTTTAAAACCTTTAATGTCCAAACTGAGAAAAAAAGCAGTGGATTTTTTTCAGAATCAGAACCAGAAAGATTTTATTGATCCCAGAGGTGAAACTATGATTCATTACAGTCGCTCCAATGTAAAGAACAGAGAATCATAAGAATAAGAGTGTGACATAGAAGTATGTTTTTTTTTAATCAGGAATATTTTATTGAATTTTGACAGGATTACACAACGCATGATCACATCAAGTATCAAACTTAAGCATGAAACCCAGTCACAATCCTCTCCATTCCACTAACCCCTGATAACAACAGGACGGACCTCCATCTCATGGACAGTACAAAAAATTACAGATGAGCTGAGAGTCAGGTTTAATATTAAAAGACAGGGGGAGCGAAGTCTGTGTAAAAGGAAGGTTCACAATAATGGGCTTCAGGACTATATACATTTAATAAAATAAATTAGAAATAAAAATGTGCATTATGCTGCAACGTGTAACACTAGTACTTAAGATATTAAGAATAAAATATGTTCACTGTGCTGAGTCTGTAAGAGTGTAAAAATATACAAATATGTGCACTGTGCCACATTTACTTTTTATAACAGACCTCATAGTTTTTTTTTTAAATACAGGCCTCTACCAAACTGTTGAGAAGTCACTTTATGATAATTGTAAAACAGAAAGAAAACACAAAAATTACAAACCATACTCTCCTGAGACCCTGTGTCCTCATATGAGGTTATCAGATTTTGGGTTTACTTGACCTTATTCTTTATTCTACTTAACTTAAGGCGCTGACACACCAAGCCGACGGTCGGCCGTCGACCAAAGTCGGGCCATCGGTGAGCGTCTGCCACCCAAGTTTTTGCGGTGTGTCCTGTAACAATACTTCAGTGTTGGCGGCTTTTCGGCCAATTGAGCATGTTGAATCGGCAGCGGAGCTTGTCGGTGAGAGAGATCCCTCTGATTGGCTGTTCAGGTTTTATTTCCTCGCCCCTGTAGCGAGTGAATCTGCCTGTAGTGAAACCGGGGCTAACCAGTGCTTCCTCCTCAGGCTCCACTTCACTCAGCTGCCCGACAGACCCGCTGCTTCTTCCCACTTTAACCTGAATAACAAACTGGAGCTAGCTGGGAGCGGCTAGCAGAGCGTTAGCTGCAGCATGACTGGAGGGAAGCACAGCCAGTTAGCCTCCGCTAGTCTCTGAGCTAGCCCCGGCTCGCCGTTTGGATCCAACCGGAGCACCAAGCCCTGGTTTGTTATTCAGGTTAAAGAGAGAAGAAGCAGCGGGTTTATCGGGCAGCTGAGTGAAGTGGAGCCTGAGGAGGAAACACCAGGACCATCTGGATGTAATAGTCCGTGGAGGTGCTGCAGTGCTCGGCTGCTCAGATAGGATGTAGTCCGTGTAGTGTGTTCAAATGCAACTGACACAGGGCGACTTGAGGCGACTTGAGGCGACATAGACGACGCAACAGTTGGCTTTCGTCGCCGCT